ACCGAGTGGCTCAACGCGTTGGCCGAGATTCAGGCGCTCAAGGCGGACGTGATCGTGCCGGGCCACGGTCTGCCTGGCCCGGTCACCGACATGGAGTCGCCCGCGTTCACGGCCAAGTACATTCGCGACTTTGACATCGAGACGCCCAAGGCTGCCAACAGCACGTACCTCATTGCGGCCATGAAGGCCTTGTACCCCAACATTGGTGGCGTCGACAGCCTCGAGCTCAGCGCCAAGGTCGCCAAGGGCGAAATGACGTGGGTCTAAAGACGCGAACGCAAGTCGATGAGAACATTTTTTGACTATTGTAAACTATTACTTTTCTGACTGATAAATCACTTTTTCAAAAGCTTTGGTATCCGAGTACACGCAGGAATCGCGAGCAGCAATAGTAGGGACCCGTGTTGGATTGTTGAACCACTCGAACACGTAGGACTATCATCAGGTGTTGGAGTGTAATGTAGGTTTAATACAGCACAATACCCTTCTTCATCAGTCAATCCAGTAGCTTGGACTTTGTTAGTGTATCACAATTATGGAATTCAAAGGTGGAGATGCAATGTGCAGTGTGTCTACACTATTGTAGCCCATGAATCTCGTCATTGGCCATGGGCGGAAAGAGCACATCCAGCAGTGTTGGCACGTGCGGCGCGCTCACATGCACCTGATGCTGTTGGTGCAAAAGCTCCGAGAGCGTCCGGTGGCCCAAAAACAAGCTGCACGCGATCGTGCCGGGTAGCAAGACGCGGTCCGCATCAGGCTCGGCTTTCACCAAGTCGTTTTCAGACACCCCCCGGGGAATGTCATCGATCGCCGCGACGCGCCCGCATTCGATGCGCAGCCGCGTGCCGCCACCGACCACTCGGAACGCCTTATGCAAGACGATCGTGCGAGACACGGCATAGAACGCGGCGTCGGACGCCAACCGGTGCTCGAGGACCGGGGCAATCGCCCGCAGAAACGCCGTCCACGATGGAATGCGCGTGTACCAGTGGTCCGACGGTGTCTGGATCGGGACGTACGACGATGGCACCGCGCGCAGCCCTGGGTGGCACCCGCCGAGCTCCAATGTAAAGCTCCAATTGGCCGGAAGCTCTTGCGTCCGTGGTGCGATCGCGGCGGTGTCGGCGCCCGTCGCCTGCGCTTCCAGCGACTCGACGAGGTGCTGGAACGGGACGCAATTGTCGAGGTAGTTGCGCGGGAGCCACCGAAGCAGCGCCGGCGTCACGTCCGCCCACGAGAGCTTGCTTGGAACGTTGGACGCCTCGTCGAGCTCGAACCGTGTCACGGTTTTGTGCAGATTGAGGCGCACAAATCCGATGGGATGCGACGCGTCGTCGTTGGTCTCGATGATGTAGAACGGCCGCGTGCCGTAGCTGCCGGCCCAGAGTTCCGAGACTAGAAAGCGCCACTGCGCAGCGTCGGCGTCCGAGTGGATACCTTCGCGCGCCAAGGACGCGGCCCGCGCGACGCGATCGAGAAACGGAACGTCGTCGGTTGTAGCCTTGCGGAAGCGCACGGGCTCGGCCGTAGCGTGCAGTGGCGGAATATTTGCGAGATGCCCCGTGTAGGACACCCCACGCCGGGGGCAGAGCTCGTAGCCAAAACGAGTGTAGTAGCTGGGAATGCCGCCGATGAACTGCAGCTCCGAGCGCAGCGCGGCAGCCCACGCGTGGTGCACTTTGAAATGCTCGGCAATGAGGCCGCGCCCACGGTACGCTTCGAGCGTTCCGATGGCTTCCGGGCGGACGACAGTGAGCGGCACGTGCAGCGACGATGGTGCGTCACGCTTGTTGGGGATACCGTAGCACCACACTTGCGGAATCGATTGGCAAGACGAGACGATGAGGTCGTTCTTGGACGTGTCGACAATGACAGTAAAGGACTCGGGACCGGCTTTCGGAGGCAAGACGCCCGACCCGTCCTGGGCTTCGAACCGGTCTTTGGTCCAGCCGCCAAATTTGGTCATGTGGCCGTGGGCCGTGCCATTGAAAGCGACAAGGGCGTCCTTGTCGGCGGGCGTTGCGCGCCGAAGCACGAGTCTGTTGCCGAGCGAAATCGGCTCAGGGCATAAGCGAGGCCGGTCGGGGTTCGAGGACGACAAGAACGCATGGAGATCGGAGATGGTGCGGGGCTGCATGGCACTGGACGAGACAAGGTACAACTGAAAATGTGGATCCTATTTTAGTTTGAACAGGGTGCTGAAACCGGGCAGAGACTGGACCCAGAAAATACTGCATATAAACTACTAATCATGGTGGACGATAGCATGGATTTTGTTGGATTCGACCAGGCGCGGGACTGCCCTAATTCTCGGATCGGAACAAGTGTTGACGTACCCGGCGAGTTCCAGCTATGTGGCTGCAAAGTGACAACCTGCATTCTGATTGGAAGAGTGCTGGTCAATCATGCTTCTGGAATCTTCGACGGGCCATCCATGACGTGGCAGGCGGAGAGCGCGTTCCGAGGTGACAGCCAACTGATGATGTAGCAAATCACGCACAGAAGACACATGCCCGTTGATGGGTACGCTCCACGTTGATCCAGCGTAGCCTTCCACCCTCATACTGTGCCGGTACGCCAATCTTTGGCTGGGGAGGTCGATAATAGCCAGGGTCAAATTGACCCTTGATAATAGGGACGGACCCAGGGGCAGGCATGCTCGCTATGGGACCTAACCGACTATTGAGCTTATGCAATAAGCTTGAGATGGGAATCCCTTATTCTTTCGTAGAGCGAAAATCGAGAGAGAACGAGTCTAATGGACGCATGCGCGCGGTTCGTCTTGACTAAACCACGCAATGGGTGCATTCGGTCGCCTCGTAAAGCATCCATTTCAGAGACTTTTGAGCTCCAACCCCCATCAATGGCGCACCCGCGTGATCATGCAGCTGTGTGGCACTAGCACACATGTCAAGCGGCCAGGGGCGAGCTCACTGCAAGCACTTCGAGCTGATAATTACCTCTAGCGCCGTGGGCGAGACAGGACTGTAAGAACGTATTTTCTGATATTTCAAAGCTCCATGAGAGCAAGAGTACTAGTAAGGGCCATAGAACGCGCAACGGCACCAACAACACTCGTATGCCTCAAATACTTGGCAGCAATACGGTGTCAGAGGCCACGAGACGCAACACCAGCGACCACATTGACAGGACATGTAGAATGTCTTCGTGTACAAGCTCCGAAATGGACAGATAAGAACCTGGATAAGATCTCGTAGCTACCCCGTCGCTTCTCGCAATAGGATCTAAGTTCGTCGCCCGTGGGCACCGATTTGGCTCGTACTACTCAGTCGTCTACGTCACGGGAGAATGAAAGAGGACTCACAATCGCTTACACATCGGCTGTTGCCAAGAAGTGGAAGAAGTCTCCCGCGCAAGACCGAGGGATCTAGAAGGCCAAGATCTAGACGCGCACACGCTACAAGACCCAAGGTCCAAACGCAGGGCAAGCAAGCTCAATCCATTTCCAAATTTGTCAGTCAAAAGCTCACCCGCCTAACAGACTACTGGCATGGCGGACGCCATAATGGTTGTTTCCTCACGTAGCTCGGTCTGGATAGAGGCATGACCGTGTTCACGCCACTGACATCCCACGCCCATAGTGCCGGTCATCGTCGAAGCGCAGTGGCCTGTTGAGATCCTTCAGCAAGCCTTGGGCTGCGCTGCTGCTTTAGGTTGTTTTCGCTCGGCACCCCTATGTTTTGTCAAGGGATATCACAATGACTCGTGTAGCTAAGGTAACCAGCAACGACAATCATCAACGGCTCTTGGCTCGTCAACGGCATGGACGGTACATGTAGAGAATTCATATAGCGGAGTGTTCTTGCGGAAGCATCAAGTGTCAAGGGCTCAAGCCCATTGGCTAAGCAAAGCAGAATGGAGGTGCTGCGCGAATAAACGCCGTTTGCCAACTATCTATCAACGGCGGCGCGTACAACAATCCTATACATATTCATGGCCGTGGGTGTGTTGGAGACACCAGCGAAATACTCTATTTTTGAGCATTTTCGAGCGAACACGACCCTGCGACGAACGCTATTGCGCATTCACCAACGACGAGCCGACTCGTACCACGCGACGCTCACTGGATCGCTCGGCGTTTGCGCCATAAAATGCGACCACATGGCGTGACATCTGCTTGGACCACAGACGTCCTTCGCGCCTTGACTCCAACCCCAAGCAACAGGTTCCAGCTAGCACATCTCTCTAAAATAAACCACAACAATAATACTACGGACGCTCTTGATATCTTTCCAAAGTCGAATAAATGCCAAGATGCATTCCCATGGTCCTCGTGGGTCGTGCGCATCTTGGACCATCCACGTGTTCGAAATTTGCGACGATCCCAAACGTCGTATCGACGCCACAACGCACAAACAACAGTCGCCCTTGCCATAACTCCTAGTTCTATACCCATATATATATAGCTATCGTTTTTCCATAGTCGAGCAACCGCATCGTCCACCACGTCCACGCCGCAGCCATCCGCGGAACGACCACAAGAGTTTTGCGCCCTTAGCTTCAACGTAGGACCTGCGCATACAAATCCTAGTACTGATCCGGTAAAGTGCGCATTGCGCATTCCAAAGTACTTGGTTAAGCGAATTGCATGGGTCATGCCACGTTTATCCGGTCTCTTCCGGATAAAGCCGGCAAATGATTGGCCAAAACGGTGTGAATTGTTGATTGCTCATTCACGGTTGCAGTACAGTGCAAAGTGGGAAGATCCATCGAGCGACCTTTCTGTTCAACCATTTCCGCTTTTGCCAGCATGTTTGCATCTCGATCTCAAGCTGTCCGCCGCACCATGGCGCGCCACGCGTCGCGCACCTTCTCGTCCACGGAGACCGCCGCCTCGGAGCGCCTCATCATCTTTGACACGACGCTCCGCGACGGCGAGCAGTCGCCCGGCGCGACGCTCAACTTCCAAGAAAAGATGCACATCGCCAAGGGCCTCCACGCCATGGGCGTCGACGTCTGCGAGGCCGGCTTCCCGATTGCGTCGCCCGGCGACTTTGACGCGGTCTCGGCGATCGCCCAAGAAATTGGCCCGCTCACGCGCGCGGCCAACGGCGACCTCATGACCATCTGTGGCCTCGCGCGCTCGACCGAGAAGGACATTCAGCGCTGCTACGACGCCGTGCGCCATGCGCCCAAGCACCGCATCCATCTCTTCCTTGCGACGTCCGACATCCACCTCAAGTACAAGCTCAAGATCTCCCGCGACGAGTGCATTCGGCGTGCGGTCGAGGCCGTCTCGTTTGCGGCGTCGTTGACGTCGGACGTCGAGTTTTCGCCCGAAGACGCCGGCCGGTCGGACCCAGACTTTCTCTGCGACGTGCTCGCCGAGGTCATTGCGGCCGGCGCGACGACGCTCAACATTCCAGACACGGTCGGGTATACGATCCCGGAAGAGTACGGCAACCTCTTTTCGTACTTGATCAAGAACACGCGCGGCAGTGAAAAGGCCATCTTCTCGACGCACTGCCACAACGATCTCGGTCTCGCAACGGCCAATGCGCTTGCCGGTGTCGTCGGCGGCGCGCGCCAGGCCGAGGTGACCATGAACGGCATTGGCGAGCGCGCCGGCAACACGTCGCTTGAGGAACTCGTGATGACGCTCAAGACGCGCCCGCACCTCTTTCCGGTCCACACGCGCATCGACTCGACGCATATCATGCGCTGCAGCCGCATGGTGAGCCACTACACGGGTATCGCGATCCAGCCCAACAAGGCGATCGTCGGTGCCAACGCGTTTGCGCACGAGTCGGGCATCCACCAAGACGGTGTGCTCAAGCACCAAGCGACGTACGAGATCATGCTGCCCGAGTCGGTGGGCTTGACCGAGAACCGCATGGTCCTCGGCAAGCACAGCGGTCGCCACGCTTACAGCAAGCGCCTCGAGGAACTCGGCTACACCGACTTGACCCAAGCGCAACTCGATATGTTTGTCGAAAAGTTCAAGGTCCTCGCCGACGACAAGAAGACCGTGACCGACGCCGACATGGAAGCCATCGTCTCGGACGACCTCTTCAAGCCCGAGACGTTCTGGACGCTCCAGGCAGTCCACGTGACGGCCGGCAACCGTGTCAAGCCGACGGCGACCATCACGCTCAACTACAAGGACGGCACCGAGGTGAGCGAGGCGGCGATGGGGTCCGGCCCGATCGACGCGATTTACTCTGCGATTTCGCGCGCGACCGGCTGCGAGAACCTCTCGCTGCACGAGTACACCGTCGAGAGCATCACGGACGGCATCAAGGCGCTCGGCGACGTGACGATCCGCATCTCGGAGAACGAGAGCAACAAGTCGGCGCTTATGAACCCGCAGACCGAAGTGAGCCGCAGCCGCCAATACGTCGGCCACGGCGCCAACAGCGACATCCTCGTTGCGTCGGCGACGGCCTACGTCAACGCGGTCAACCGCCTCTTGGCCGCCAAGGAGCGCGACGAAGCGACTGCCCGGCGCGAAAGCCGCGCGGC